AGCTAACAGTGTTTGAGAACTAACCATGTACCAGGCATAATGTCATAAGACATATAGTAGTAAATCATGAGAGTGAATCTCAGTCTCATAACAATCCTGTGAAATAGGTACCATTACCATTCCATTTTACAGATGAAGGAACTGAGGCAAGGACACAAAGCTAAGAGCAGATGAGCTCTGGATGCAGTTCAAGCAGTGCAACCCCACCCCCTACTTATTTTTTCAATGTCTTTTCAAAGTAAACTCTATGCCCAATGTGGGGCTCAAATTCAAGACCCCAAGATCGAGAGTCATATATTCTACCAACTGAGCCAGCCAGGTGCCTCCTTTTCTTACAAGTTTTTTCCCCCTTATTTTTTGTTAATAACTACTTATTTTTATGTAATTTCAAAGAGAAAATTTGCAATAGTACTATAATGAATTCACATAGGTAGAAGCTATATGTTCAATCATTACAATATATTTGTTAAATAAATAAATAGACATGCAAACAGAGTAAGTAATCTTAATTAAGAACATGTCAGGGCACCTGGGTGGCTCAGTCGGTTAATTGTCTGACTTCAGCTCAGGTCACGATCTCACAGTCTGTGATTTTGAGCCCCGCGTCGGGCTCTGTGCTGACAGCTCAGAGCCTGGAGCCTGCTTCAGATTCTGTGTCTCCCTCTCTCTCTGCCCCTCCCCTGCTCATGCTCTGTTTCTCTCTGTCTCAAAAATAAATAAAAAAAAATTTTTTTTAAATTAAAAAAAAAAAAAGAACACGTCAATATACCCAAAAACAAAGATCCATGTTGGCTGAAAGTCCCAAAGCTGATAGGGGAAACGAAGTGTGTCTAATATTTTCTGCATCATTTTTACTCGTTTCTGTATTTATCCTTCCTGAGGTTTCCTCATGGCAATAAAAAGATTTACAAAACCTCAGAACCTAGATAAATCTTAGAGACACTTGGTGCCAACCTCACTGCCTCTTGCTTTTGGCCTGAAGGAGGGACCACGTATTCTGCCTCCCAACCAGCCAGGGGCAGCTGAGAGCCCAGTGGCTTTAAAACTCAGATCAAGGGAGGGGCACCTGGGTGGCTCAGTCAGCTGAGTGTCTGACTTCCGCTCAGGTCATGGTCTCACAGTTCATGAGTTCAAGCCCCACATTGGGTTCTGTGCTGACAGCTCGGAGTCTGGAGCCTGCTTTGGATTCTGTCTCTCCCTCTCTCTCAAAAATAAATAAACATTAAAAAAAAATTTTTTTTAAAAACCCCTCAGATCAAGGGAGCATGGTTGGCTCAGTTAGTGGAGTATTCCACTCATGATCTTGGGTCGTGAGTTCAAGCCCCACGTTGGGTGTAGAGATTACTTAAGAATAAAACCTTAAGGAAAAAAAAAAAAAAGAATTCTGACCAAAGCCCAGCTGTGGCACTTAAAAGCTATGTGACCTTGGACAGAGGCCTAACCTCACAGAGCCTTGGTTTCCTTATCTGTAAATGGAGCAAATACTGACCTCACAAGGTTATTGAGAGAATTGAGATAAGATACGTAAAGAGCTTGGCATCAAGCAGGGATTTAATACAAGTCCTTCTGCTCCACCTTTTCAAATAGCTTCCACACTTCAGATTATTTCCCTAGAATAGAGCCCTAGAAGTGGAACTACTGGACCAACTGGAATAAACATTTTTATGGCCCTTGATCTATATCGCCAGCTTGTTTTCCAAAAGGGTGCTGCCACCAGCCGTATGTGAGATTGCCAGTTCCCCTATCACTTTGCCAACACAAGATATTATAATTATTTTTCTGTTGGTTATCACAAAAAGAAAAGTACTTTATCACTACTTTAAATTGTATCTCTTTGATTAGTCATGTAGTCAGATATGTTTCCACATCTATGTTCCCTGTTTTTTGATTTATCTCTTCATGACCTTTGACTGTTGGGGTATTGGCATTTTTTCTTATCAATATTTGTGCATCATTGTGATGAAGAAATTAACGTCTTTCTTTATTATTATTATTATTATTATTAAATTTATTTTTGAGAGACAGAGAGAGAAACAGAGTGCGAGCAGGGCAGAGGCAGAGAGAGAGGCAGACACAGAATCTGAAGCAGGCTCCAAGCTCTGAGTTTCAGCACAGAGCCCGGTGCAGGGCTCCAACTCACCATGACCTGAGCTGATGTTGGATGCTTAACTGACTGAGCCACCCAGGTGCTCCAGTGAAGAAATGAACTTCTTAAATATTGATGGCAAATGTTTGTTCCTAGACTTTTGTTCACCTTTTTATTTTGAAGCTGTTTCACTTATTTGTAATGATTTTGTCTTCATAATTGTTATTACTGTTGTGGTAGTTTGAGAGGTTTTTAAGCTACAGATGTCTATCATCTTTACTTTGATGCTTTTCTTTATGATTTATTCTATACAACTTCTAAGCTGTATCTCTGCAAGTGTAGATAATTCTGAGGAGCCAAATGCCTCGGGTTGAATTGGGTCTGCCCAATATGTGGAGGTCCTCATCCCCAGCACCTGCTAATGTGGCCTTCTTTGGAAGTAGAATCTTTGCAGATGTGACCAAGCAGAAATGAAGTCGTACTGGAGTGGGGTGGGCACTAGCCAAATATGATTGTTGTCCTTATTATAAGAGTAGAAGACAGATGCACAGATATACTCCACCCCCCCCCAGTTACAGAGATTGGAGTGGTGTGGCTGCAAGCCAAGGAGCGCCAGGTCTTGCCGGCTGCCGCCAGGAGCTAAGGGAAAGGCAAGGAAGGATCCCATCCAGAGTCTCAGAGGGAGCACAGGCCCGCCGACACCTTGATTTCATTCATATTTCTGGCCTCCAGAACCTTGAGAGAATAAATGTCTGATTGTTTAAGCCACCCAGTTTGTAGGACTTTGTTATGGCAACCCTAGAAACTAATATAGACACCAAGCTAAGGCCAAATTTTCCTATCAAAATTGGAACCAAGGAGAACTGGACAGAAATGATCTCATGCTGAACACGGAAATGCCAGGCGTGGAGAAGAATGGGGCCAAAAATACTGTTTTCCTAGCATCTAGGAAAATACCAAAACACCAAAATGAAACGCAAATGACTAAAAGACTTAAGTATAAATGAAACCATAGATGTCCCAGAGGAAAACGTCTAAATGTTAAAAAAAAAAAAAAAATTCTTTTCAGCATAGGAGGGGCATTTCTAAGCGTGATACAGATGCCAGAAGCTGTAAAGGAGAAGGTTAATAAATTCAACCACATAAAAGTCAACTTTCTGCCTGGTAATAAATACCTTAAGCAAAATCAAAGGTCACATGGCACACTAGGGGAAAAATACTTGCAATTCAATTCACAAGGAGTTAGTTTTTCTCATATAAAAGGAGCTCCAAAAATCAATAAGAAAAGACTAAGTACCCAACAGAAAAATGGTCAGAGGATATGTACAGACAGTTCACAGAAAGGCACATGCAAATAAATCCAACATATAGAAAGATAGACACCATCATAATAAGAGAAATGGCTTTGAGAGACCACTTCTCACCTCTCAGATTGGGCAAAGTCAAAATTCATTTGGTAACTACCTCCCAATTATTTTTGGTATATTTTCGACTGGAAAGGCAGAAGGTTAAGACCACAATTACTGGGTGACTTCTTAAGATTTTTTGCAATGCTTTACTCTGGGACTCATAATTGTTGTTGTCATTACATTATTTTCACCTATTGGCATTATCTGAGTGTCAAGACATCTACTGTATTAGAAAAAGCCAGTATAGCATAATGGTTAACTGTAGTGCAACGGTTAATTGCCCAGGTATGATTCTTGGTTCTGCCGCTTGTTAGCTGTGTGTCCTTGGATAAGTCATTTGACTGTTGAACCTCAGTTTCCTCATCTGTAAAATGTAAATGATGTAGTGCCTACTTCCTAGGTTATTAAGAAGAATTAATGAGTTGACACATGTAAAGCATTTAGAACAGTGCCTGGCACATAAGTACCATATCAATGCTAGAAATTAATATTACCACAAAGTGACTCTAAAGTCTGGAAATGTACAGAATTTTGTTATGTATTACCAAGAAACCATCTATTCTGAAAATTCCTGTTTCCAGACTTGATGGCCACTCTATATGTACTAGATGCTTTAAAATACATTCTCTTCTTTAATCCTCACAACCGTCTTGTAAGGTTTGCTTTATTACCTCCATTTCACTAATAAAAAGCAAGGGATCAGAGAGGTGAAGTTACGTCCCCAAAGTCACACAGCTAGTCAGTGCCAGAACCAACGTTCAAACTTCAATCTGCTCAGGTTCTTTCCACTCCATCTCAGGCCATCCTCTCCAGAGCGTCTTTCTTCGTCGCCCAAGGCACCCTTTTGGTCTACAGAGGATGGAAAATTTTCAGCCCGGTTCCACATGGCGAGCCCCAACCAACCGGAGCGCCTGCTTGGCTCCAAGGCCGCTGCGTGTCCCGAAGATTTATAGAGAAGGTGGAGAGCATTCCCATACCCCAGCCCCACCCTGACCCAGCATTCTAGAAGTGGAGAGAGAGGCTGGCTGGCTGGTGGCCCCGCCTCCTGAGAACTCGGGGGCGTGGGGAGGACTCTGCCCAATCCCCCCCATTCCCCCTCTCCCGCGTCTGGGGAGACGCCAGGGCTCGCTGTTACGTTCGGGCGTAAATAATGGCCCGCAATCCAGTTCCCTCCAACTCTGCCCTTCGGGTACAGGCCCCAGAGTCTCTTGGGTGCATCCATCCAGGCTGGTTCTACCGGACAATCAACGCGTGCAGAGTGTGTGCACTGACCTGTTTCTAAATAGATCTCATTTGGGCTGTGACTTTGAAAGTGAGCCAAAGGCCCCAACCTAAAATAGACAGCCTACTGCCCTGTTATTTTCATGGCTTAAAAAAAAGAGAAAGAAACAAAAGAAGACCAAAAAAAAAAATCTCTCCAAAGCAAAGCAAGTATTTTTATCACAGGCCTTGCTTGGAATAGCAACACCTATTTACTTGGAGGGAGGAGGCTGCTGGGGAGTTTCAGCGCTGGGTGATTATTCCAGACTCGGGAGAATGAGTACACTCAGTAGAGAGTATCCTCCCCATCAGAGGGCCGGCTCTTTTTGGCTTTTACCCTCCGAGCATCTCCAGCCCTCACCCCCACTCCCCTACATAATCTGTATCTTGCACACCCTCCCCTCCCACCCCATGCACCTCACTTTCTAAACTGCTCCTGGACCTCCGGATCCTGACCACAGGCTTTCTGCTGGATGCCTCACCTCAGCCCTCAGACTGTGTGCAGCCTTCACTCTTTGCTTCTCTCCGTGTCCAGAATCCGGATCTTGCTTGGGCTGGAGGCTTACTGACCTAAGGAGCATACATAAGCCATGAATAACCATAATCGAAGCTTTTTTTTTTTTTTTTTTTTTTTAAGCATTCTCTGGATGCCAAGAGCCATGCTAAGTATTTCTCATGCACCATCATTGGATGTTAAGGTCTGTTCTGTGAGCTCAGACTATCATCAGCCCCATTTTGCTGAAGGAAATCCGAAACTTAGATGAACGGCCCAGGGGTCACACAGGCAGAGGATGAGCTGGGACAGCTGAACCGAGGCTGAATGGGTCCTAAGTGTGAGTTCCGGATCATTCTTTCACCTTTGTATGTTTTTGGTTTGTGGGGCTACTATCCCATTTTTTTAAAATAACTTATCTTTGTGTCCCTCTGCAGAGATGACCTCAAAATGCTACGTCTGGGGAGGGATGGGGAGTGAAAATGTGAGGCTTTTTCTTCACTTGTTTCTTTAAAGCTTCCTGTATATTTTTTATGAGCATATATATTTTTTTATTAGCAGAAAAAGAAATGCTAGTTTGAGAAAAAGTAGGAGCAAGCACTGAACCATCCTGGCGGAGACCGTGCAAGGCAGTGGTTAACACACACACTTGGGAGCCCGGCCTTCTGAATGTAAATCCTAGCACCGGCCACTTCTAGCTGTGTGACCTTGGGTAGCTCATTTAGCATCTCTGCGCCTCTGTTTCCTTACTCTGGGAATGGAGGCTAATAATAGCATCTACCTCAGAACAGGGGCATGAGGATTAATGTGTAAAAAGTGCTCTTGGCAATATCTGGCTCACAGTAAGGACTGCCTGAGGGCCTGCCACCCCCTGATACCTCAGCCTGTAGAGGAAAGTCAAGGGCATGCAAAGACAAAGGCCCACAGGGGCCCAGTGGGTGTGGGGAGGCAGTAGAGAAGCCAGAGTGTCAGTGCTCCGAAGGATAAGGGCTGTAGCAAAGTGGAGAGCATAAAATTGTGGCTGGAAGGGGCAGCAGTGTTTTTAGGTCCAACACATTTTCCACAGGAGATGTAACTCTACAATGTTATTTGAAGTCCCTGGAGGTTTAATGTTGGCTCAAATTGAACAACATAAGATGCAGAGCCCCAGGTACCCAGGTGGCTCAGCTGGTTAAGCAGTTAAGCATCCGACTCTTGGTTTCAGCTCAGGTCATGCACAATCTTATCATCCATGAGATCGAGCCCCATGTCAGGCTCTGCACTGACAGTGCGTAGCCTGCTTGGGATCCTCTCTCTCTCTTGAAATAAATAAATAAACATAAAAAAAAAAAAAAAAAAGATGCAGAGCCTTTTGGCCCCAGGCTGCCAGCCTGAAGCCTCACTCCCAGGGGCCTCCTGCTCCAGTGGCCCAACTAGCTCCCCAGAGGAACCTTGACACCCAGCATCAGAGTGTTGAGAGGTGGGCAGGAGTTACAGATGCATGTTTTTGCAGGGAGGGGGCACTAGCAACCAGGTAGGGATCATTCTCTCCATTTTACAGATGAGGTAACTGAGGCCCAGTGAGGGGTGGTGATTTGCTCAGGTTCATACACCATAGCGACCGATGCAACCAGATTCAAACTCAGAAATTTCTGATTCCAAAACCAGTGCTTCTAGGGCCATCTAGGAGTCTAGTACTTCCTCTCAGTTCCTCCAACCTCAGCGTTCTGAGACAGCTAATTTAAAAAAATGTCTTCCTGGGTGCCTGGGTGGCTCAGTCAGTTAAGCATCCGACTTCAGCTCAGGACATGATCTCGAGGTCCTTGAGTTCGAGCCCTGCGTCGGGCTCTGGGCTGATGGCTCAGAGCCTGGAGCCTGCTTCCGATTCTGTGTCTCCCTCTCTATCTGCCCCTCCCCCATTCATGCTCTGTCTCTGTCTCAAAAATAAATAAACATTAAAAAAAACTGTCTTCCATGGTCTTTCTCTCTTTTTTTTTTTTTTAACTTTTTTTTTTCAACGTTTATTTATTTTTGGGACAGAGAGAGACAGAGCATGAACGGGGGAGGGGCAGAGAGAGAGGGAGACACAGAATCGGAAACAGGCTCCAGGCTCTGAGCCATCAGCCCAGAGCCTGACGCGGGGCTCGAACTCACGGACCGCGAGATCGTGACCTGGCTGAAGTCGGACGCTTAACCGACTGCGCCACCCAGGCGCCCCTCTTTCTTTTTTTTTTTAATGTTTATTTATTTTTGACAGAGAAAGAAACAGAGTGCAAGAGGGGGAGGGGCAGAGAGAGAGGGAGACATAGAATTCAAAGCGGGCTCCAGGCTCTGTGCTGTCAACACAGTGCCCGATGCGGGGCTCGAACCCACGAACCACGAGATCATGACCTGAGCTGAGGTCGGAGGCTTAACTGACTGAGCCACCCAGGCACCCCTCTCTCTTTGAAATAAAAACTGTTGACTACCAACATCATATCTAAAAGAAAAGAGGGTTTTCTTTGTGTGGCACACAAATAGTTAAATTAAAGGTGCAGCTGGCCACACAACTCTGGCACTAATTTGTAGTCACTTGCCTCTACTCAGCATCTGTCAATATTTCAGCAATAGTTTTTTTAGTGGGCAATTCACTGCCTACTCTACATTGGGCAATACAATGCTCACTGCTACATAAAGAACTGTGGTGTTAAGAAACTGATCAGAGGGGCACCTGGGTGGCTCAGTCGGTTAAGCATCTGGCTCTCCATTTCAGCTCAGGTTATGATCTCATGGGTTCCTGAGTTCAAGTCCTGCATTGGGCTCCATGCTGACAGTGTGGTGCCTGCTTGGGATTCTCTCTCTCTTCCTACTCTCTCTGCCTGTCTCTCTCAAAATAAATAAACAGACTTAAAAAAAAAATACACGTTAAGAAACTGATCAGAGCTCTTCAATAAGGAGAGGCTAAAATTGTGTGGAGATGGGGATGGAAAGGAATAAATATTCAGTCAGCTCTTAACATATGCAAGGCACGTGGGATCCTCATAACAACCCACTTTCTTTTTTTTTGTTTTTGTTTTGTTTTTAAAACAAAATTTTTTAATGTTTATTTATTTTTGATAGAGAAAGACAGAGTGCAAGCAGGGGAGGGGCAGAGAGGGAGTCAGACACAGAATCTGAAGCAGGCTCCAGGCTCTGAGCCATCAGCACAGAGCCCCACTCGGGGCTGGAACTCACAAGACCATGACCTGAGCCGAAGTCGGACGCTCAACTGACTGAGCCACCCAGGTGCCCCAACAACCCACTTTCTAAATACTGTGGAACTTCTGGGTGTTTCCTGAAGTGTCGATATTTTTATCCCCATTTTATAGCTGATAAATTGCAAGAAGAAGGAAGAAAATGAAAGAAGAGATTTCTCCAAAGTCATGTGGATTGTAAGAGAGAGAAGTTGCATCTTACATCCAAAGTTTGTACTCCCAAAATTGTCCCTGGAACCCTCGTTACTCCAAGTGTGGTCCCTGGACTACCAGCATTGGAGTCACCTGGGAGCCTGTTAGAAAAGCATACTCACAAGCTGGCCGCAGACTTGCTGGGTCACGAGCTACGTTTTACAGGACTCTCTGATGATTCTCATGCACGCTAAAGTTTGGAAAGTCCTGCCATAATGAGTCCCTTCCCTCCTGACCTTTGTCTCCTCCCCACTGCTTGTGGTGGGGCTGCAGAGCTGGTAGCTTCCCTGTGCGTTTCCAACTCTGTGCTGCGATGCCCCAAATGAGCTGGGGTGTAGTAAGCAGTCTTCTGGTCTTTATGCTCTAAATTCAAGAGTTTTGGCTTTAAACCTGAAACTTAAAAGGATCCTAAATACCAGACCACACATCCACATTTGTCTATCTTCTTCCTGATAGGTGGCAAAATACACCAGTTTGCCCAGAATCGAGAGGTTTCTAAGGACACAGAAATTGTAGTGCTAAGCTTGGGCAGTCCTGGGCAAACCAGATGGTTGGCCACTATAACCTCCTTATGGCCTCTCAATCACATTTAATTCACTACTTAGCACAGTAAGTCTCAGCCCTGGCCACACCTTAGAATCACCTGGGAGCTTCAGTGAAAAACAGGTGCCCTCTCACTAACTCAGGTGAATTAAATCAGAACTTCTGGAGCTAGAATATGGGAACTGGTATGTTTTTTGTTTTTTTTTTTAATTCTCTTTGTGATTTTAATGCAAGCAGAGTAGAGAGCCCGTGCTCCTGCCGCAAGTTATTTTTTGCTCTGAGTAGCACATTTTTCAGACGCATGAAGAATTGACTGAAGGAAGGCAATAGAACTTACTGGAAACTAAGCTTACTGGATCCATGCTTCTCTTGCTGGTCAGCACCCAAGTGCTAGGAGCTATGCTATCTGTAAAGTAGAAATTATTGGTGCCCATTATGCAGATAAGAACATCGAGGCTCAGAGAAGTTAAGTAACTTGCCCAAGTTCACATAACTAAGGAATACTGAACTGTGATTTCAGGTCTGTTTTCCTTTATAACCCCAGAAGGTTGCTCTACACACTATCTCTGAGATAAATCTAGATTTTAACTTTGCTACTGGTCATGAGAAGACTGGGTGCTTCCCAGCTGTGAATCATCTTCTGCAGAGTGGACGATGGAGGCTCAGATGTATGAGTGGACTGTCTTCATGCTGGAAATTTCTCCATCAGGGATCCTTTCCCCTGAATCTATAAGACCCAAGTGGATCTAGTAATTTCTCTCCTAGGAGCATACACAAGAGAATTGGAAAGAAATGTCCCCACGGAGACTTGCACACAGAGTTACATTGCGGCATTGTTTATAATAGCCATAATATGGAAACAACTCATATGTCCATAACTGATAAATGGATAAACAGAACGTGATCTTGCCATATAATAGAATATGATTTGGCAATGAAAAGGGATGAAGTACTGACATATGTCACAAATGGACGAACCTTGAAAACATTATGCGAAGGGAGAGAAGCCAGACTATATGGTTCTCTTAACTTGAAATATCCTGAACAGGCAAATCCATAGAGACAAGAAGGAGATTGGTGTTTGCCAGTGCAGAGGGTGGGCTGGGTGCTGGAGGCAGAAGGGAGGAATGGGGAGTAATTGCTAATGAATATGGGGCTTCTTTTGGGGTGACCAGATGTTGTAGAATTAGCGGGGATGGTCATACCACTCTGGGAGTATACTAAAACTACTGAACTGTATTCCTTAAAAGGGTGAATTTTAGGGTAGATGAATTATATCTCAATCTGCTAACTGGAGTGCTCATTCATACATGTTTAGTGGCAGTATAAAATGGAGCAACCACTTTAGAAAACCGGCATTTTCTATAAGGTTAAGCTTATACCCACCCTATGAAACACCTGTTCTATTCCTATCTGTATTCCGCAAAGGAGTGCTTAAGTCCTTGCAAAAATATGTACATGGATGTTCATAACAGCTTTATTTGTAATATTTCCACACTGGAGACAACCCAAATATCCATCCACAGGATACCTGCTGTCCATATGATGGAACAGCACACAGCAGTGAAGGGACCTAGGGTTACCTGCCTACCAAGAACAAATCTCGCTGATACTATGTTGAGTAAAAGAAGCCAGACAAAAGAGCCCATACTCTATGATTGATTCCATTTCTCTGAGGTTCAAAAACATGCATAACTAATTGATGATCATAGAAGCCAGCAGAGTATAGACTGGGAAGAGGCATGAGGGAGCTTGTTAAGGTGCCAGAGGTGTTATATACATACCTTGATCTTGATAGTTGTTGCATGGGCATGTACATATGAAGAGATCACTGAGCTGTATGCAGAAGGTTAGTGCTCTTTGTGTACTTCACCACGTGTACATCGTACCTAAAAAATCCAGAAGCTCCTCAACCAACAGTGACCGAGTCCTGAGGCTCCCTGACTGACCCTGAACATGTAGGCAGTGACCTGAAGAGGATAGAGACTGTGAAGATAGATGGAGCTGGATTCCAGTTCAGCTCTGCTCCTTACCTAGCCCTATGATCTTGGGCAAGTCACAGAACATTTCTGATTTATAAAATGAGGAAGCACGCCTGCCTAACAGGGATTGCCTTGAGGCTTAAAGGCAAAAAATATATGTCAAGTCCCCAGCAGGTTCAGCACAAGACAGAACAATCCCAAGGGGCCAGTTAATGGTGGCTCAGACAAGACATCTGCTCTGTCAGAAGGATACTGAGTCAGAGCCTTCCTGAGGAGAACAGGGACAGGTGAGGAATACACATAGCGAGGAGCAGAGAACTTATGAAACTTGTCCCAGGTCTTCCTGCCCTGTTGAAGATACCACCAGGACAGACCACATGGAGAAGGCAAGTAGAAAGAGAGAGACATGAAAAGATAGAGGCCCAGTGTCCCAGTACCCAGCTGAGCCCAGCCTTCAAGCTGTCCCCATAAGGCGCAGCCATGAGGGTGAGCCATCTTGGAAATTCCAGCCCAGCTGAGATCCTGTATGACCATGGCCCTGGCCAACGTCGTGTGGAGCCGAGCCCAGTCAACCCATGGAATCATGAAGGATCATAGATGGTTTTTGTTTTAAGCTTTAGCCAAAACGAGAAGTGGTGGGTTCCAATAAACACCACCAAAAGCATGGGACGTTGGCTTCAGGACAGGGCAGTGGGCAGAGGCTCAAAGGGTCTTGATGAGGTTGTTATTGGAATCTGGAAGGGCTGTGAGGAGATTATTATAAAAGGCTGAGGAAAGGAAACATAAGTTAAGTACTGACAGAACAATCTAGTTAAGCTGTTCCTTGTAATGTGGAAAATAGAAAATTTAGTTCATGAACTTGTTGATTTGGCTAAGAAGATTCCAAGGCAAAATGTTGAAAGAGCCAATGGTTCATTTTAGCTGAGGTGTGGAGAGAGAGAGATGAACTAAAGAAAGAACTATTTGGTATTCAAGTGACTCTAAAGGAAAAGTTTCTAACCTCCAGCTTGCTGGGCTGGAAAATAAAACTGTTTCTCATTCCCACCCCATGCAGCCCAATAAAGATTCTCAAGGAGGGGCACCTGGCTGGTTCAGTTGGTAGAGCATGCGACTCTTGATATCGGGGTTGTGAGTTTGAGCCCCGCATTGGGTGTGGAGATTACTAAAAAATAAATAAATAAGCTTTTAAAAAAAGATTCTCAAAGAAAATAAAAACCAAAAGGGAGGGAAGGAATCTGGGGGCAAGAATCAAATCTAGGGTGTTGACGGTAAATGTGGCCTCAGGGTCAAGGTTAGAACAAGGATGCAGCTATAAAACCCTATGTTGAGGCTTCAGATGGATTTAAGGGTATATCAGGTAGATCCTCTCAGCTAGATGAAAGGCTTCTGACAATCTCTGAAGGAGTTGTCCCCTAGCAGCTTGCATATGGCCCAAAGTAGAAAAGCACTATTTCAAGAAGAAATAGAAGTCTGGCTTTTGTCTAATGGAGTAGATAATTTGATACACAGGAAACTCACAATTTTTATTTTACTAACTTGGACTGAAAAGAACAGAGACAGTATAAAACAGAAAAGTAGCCTTTGTGACCCCAGCTTCCTAAGAGCAGAAAACAGGCAAAGGTGGGGTGTTTCTTTTTTTTTTTTTATTTTTTTTTCAACGTTTATTTATTTCTGGGACAGAGAGAGACAGAGCATGAACGGGGGAGGGTCAGAGAGAGAGGGAGACACAGAATTGGAAACAGGCTCCAGGCTCTGAGCCATCAGCCCAGAGCCTGACGCGGGGCTCGAACTCACGGACCGCGAGATCGTGACCTGGCTGAAGTCGAACGCTTAACCGACTGCGCCACCCAGGCGCCCCTAAAGGTGGGGTGTTTCTTATGGAAAAGAAGGATGACTCTGATGTGGAGCCAAGAGCCAAACACAGGCATACCTGGGAGATATGGTGGGTTCTGTTCCAGACCACTGTAGTAGAGTGAATATCTCAATAACACGAGTCGAGTGCATTTTCTGGTTTCCCAGTGCATATAAAAGTTATGTTTATACAATACTGTGGTTTTAGGTGTGCAATAACATGTCTAAAAAATGTATATTAATTAAAAAATGCTTTGTTGCTTAGAAAAAAAGGGGGGTTGGTGACTGGGTGGCTAAGTCAGTTCAACTTTGGCTCAGGTCGTGTCTCACAGTTCGAGAGTTCAAGCCCTGAATCAGGCTCTGACAGCTCAGAGCCTGAAGCCTGCTTTGGATTCTGTGTCTCTCTCTGTGCCTCTTCTACTCATGATCTCTCTCTCTCTCTCTCTTTCTCTCTCTCTCTCTGTCTCAAAAATAAATAAACTTTAAAAAATGCTTTATTGCTAAGAAATGCTAGCCATCATCTGAGCTTTCAGCAAGTCGTAATCTTTTTGCTGGTGGAGGGTTTTGCCTCCATGATGATGGCCACTTACTGATCAGGGTGGTGGTTGCTGAAGGCTGGGTAGCTGTGGCAATTTCTCAAAATAAGAGAATAAAATTTGTCACATTGATGGACTCTTCCTTCATGAACCATTTCTCTGTAGCATGCGATGCTGTTTGATAGTTTCTCCCCACAGCAGAACTTCTTTTAAAGTTGGGGTCAATCCTCTCAAACCCTGCCACTGCTGTATCAACTAAGTTTTATGTAATATTCTAAATACTTGGTTGTCATTTCAACAGTCTTCACAGCATCTCCACCAAGAAACTACTTTCTTTGCTCATCCATAAGAAGCAACTCCTCATCTGTTCAAGTGTGATCATGAGATTCCAGCAATTCCATCATATCTTCAGGCTCCACTTCTAATTCTGGTTCTCCTGCTGTTTCCACCACAGCTGCAGTGACTTCTTCCAGTCAAGTCTGGAATCTTCAACTTGTAAAAAAGGCAATATCTTCTAAGTGCAATAAAGTAAGATGTGCCTATAGAACCAATCCCAGCAAGCTGACCTCAGTTTTAGTCAACATACATTTCCTACCCCTGGAGCAAAGGGAACTGTACTTGGAGGAATTTCATGATTGTGATGGACCCATGGGTCCTCTGTGTTTCCCCTTTTTGAATGGGAGTGTATATTTTGATGCTCAGCTCCTGTCTCATTATAAGTTGAGTATGTGGGGGCAGATAACTTCTCCCTTCAGTCCACAGGACTTCAGATCAAGAGAAACCATGCCCAAGTGCCTCCTCAACAACTGGGTGAGATGTAGTTGTTGAAAAACTAGACTTCAGGCCTGAGCCTGAGGCTATAATGGATAAGAAATTGGGGATTATGGGAAGGGGGGGATTTTATTTTGCATGCTAGAGGGAACTTGGGGACCAGATAGTAGACTAAGGTGGCTAGTTTCCAAGCATGGGTCCTAATGAACCGTGCCTCCTGATGTTCATGGCTTTGTGTAGTCCCTTCCCATGTTGAATCTGGGCTGTAGTCCCTTTCCATGTTGAATCTGTGATCTATTTTAACTAACAGAAGGCAGCAGAAGTGATACCATGCCAGCTCTGGACCTATGGATTAAGAGGACCTGGCAGTTTCAGCTTTTGCAGTCTGGGGAACCCTGAACTGCTTTATTAGAAGTCTGTCTACCTTGTGCTGGAAAGACCACAGGGAAAGGCCTTAGAGTGAGAGAGAGAGAGAGAGGCCCTGAAAGGACTTGGAAAGAGAAAATTTCAGCCTGCCCATTACTGCTCAGTCCAGACTTCCAGCCATCCCCACCAGTTGGCCAGACATGAGAGCACCATCTTGGATGTTCCAGCAGAATTGAGTCTTCAAGGGACTGCCACCACTGCTGACATCAGGTGGAGCAGAACTGACCCCAGATGACCCCAGTCAACCCACAGAATCATGAGAGATCATAAAATAGTGGTATTTTTAAGTCACCAAGTTATGAGGTAGCTTGTAAGTAAAACACCATTGGCCCAACCCAATCTGAAACCAAAGAACAAGGAAGCCCATTCATGGTGGCCATATAATCAACTTCCTGAGGCAGAGAGTAGAATGGAGAAGGGTGGAAAGTGGATCTGGAGGAGTAAACTGAAAATAACTAATTTTGGCTTTTTTTTTAATGTTTACTTATTTTTGAGAGCGAGCGAGAGAGAGAGAGAGCGCGCGCACGCGCATGTGCGAATGAGAGGGGGAGGGGCAGAGAGAGGGAGGGAGACACAGAATCCAAAGTAGGCTCCAGGCTCTGAGCTGTCAGCACAGAGCCTAATGTGGGGCTCGAACTCATGAACAATGAGATCATGACCTAAGCCGAAGTCGGACGCTTGACCAACTGAGCCACTCAGGCACCCCAAAGATAACCAATTTTGAACATGATGGCTTGAATTGGATGAGAGAGAGGGGGATTCCTGGGTATTTGATGTTTAGAATCAGGAGGATTGCAACACCTTTACCGAAGCAGGAAATGCTGGCCAACAACCAGGTTTGGGAGGGAAAGTCACGATTTTTGTTTTGTGTAGATTGAGGTGGAAAGGCTTTGAGACACTCATGTGGCAGGGTCAACAGAGAGGAATGTGGGAATCTTCGGTGTGTAATTATGGTAACTGCAGCTGAGGGTGTACATGAGCTTACCTGCAGAGGGGGTCAGAGTGAGTGAGAAAAGAGCATCGACTGTGCCCTGAGAACCCCAACATGTAACAGTCATGCCTTTTCCTTCCAAGGAGACAGACAAAGGGCAGCCAGAGAGGTAGAGGAAAATGAGGACCACGTAATGTAAAGGAGGCCAAGAAAAGAAAGTGATGGGTGGACGAAGTGGTCTACCAAATGTCACATTGCTCAGATGTCAAGTCAGAAGAGGGCAGAAGGATTCACTGAGATTGGTAGCCTTCCTCCCTTATTAGACAGCATTAAATGAATGGTTCTGTGGGACTGGATTTGGCAAGGGAGCTGTTGCCAAAGCAAGGGAGCTGTTCCCAAAGAGTGAACCCAAGTAGCCGGTAAACCCATGAGGTGCCCAACCTCATTAGTCATCAGGGAAATGTAAATGCATACCACAATGAGATTCCATTTCACACCCACCAGATTGGCTAAAAATAAAAAGCTTAACAATACCAGGATTTGGCGAGGATGTTGAGCAAATAGAACTCTCATGCACAGTTGGTAGGAATGTAAGCTGGTACAACCATCTTGGGAATGGTTGGACATTAACTAGTGTGGTTGAGGATGTGCACAGTGTGCTGGGCCAGGTTCCCTGGGAAACAAGCTCTGAGAGGAGGCTTGTCTGCAAGAGATTTATTGGAGTACTCTCGGGATCAACACTTGTGAAGGGGTGAGGGCAGCAGAATTTCACACGGAGAGAAGATGAACTGCAAGGGAGTTGTAATAGAGACCTTAGTCACTGGGAGCTCTAAAAATGGATGGCTCATCACAGCTGTCCTGAATTGATGGAAGGGACCCCTACATTGGCCAATCACTGGCTAGGGCTATCTCCAAGGAGGAGTCATAACATTGGACCAGGCAGTCCTGCCCATTAAAGGGCAAGACTCCTGGCAGCTGGAGAGTGTGTGCCTGGTCCTGATAGAGGAGATGTGGGCACACACTACACCATTCGCTACACTTCTGTACCATTTAGATGCCCTGCTTTGTAAAATATGCTAACGCCATTGAAGAATGACTCCTCCAGGATTCTGATTCTTCTCTTTTTCTGGGGAAATTTTAGTAGGTTGGTGGAATGAGCTACAGCTCCCACACTGCAGCTAGTCGGCTTGTTGTCTCCTTCCTTTAACTACCCATTCTAGACTCTCTAGCCCTGAGCTCATGCCTGTGCCAGTCTAAGTGGCTTACCTAGTGAGATGGCCCAGACCTCCATCTCTAAGAGGTCCAAGACCCTGGTCACCGTGCTCGTCTTCCTCATGGTTGCTGCATCTATTTGCCATCAAGAAACGCACAAGTTGGTCACCTCCAGAGTCAAATGTATTTCTCTCTGTCCTTTCTGTAACAACAGCTCTGCTTCCTTCTTATGTTGCAGTCAATTCACTTGCCAGGAGGGTGACTCCTCTTCTTCTTCTTCTTTTTTTTTAAGTTTATTTATTTATTTTGAGAGAGAGGGAGAGAGAAAGAGAGAGAGAGCACGAGCAGGGGAGGGGCAGAGAGAGAAGGAGAGAGAGAAAATTCCAAGCTCAGGGCTTAAACTCACAAACCACGAGATCATGACCTGAACAGAGACCAGGAGTCAGACACTCAACTGACTGAGCCACCCAGGTGCCCCGGGTGACTCCTCTTCTTGCCTGCTTGCCTCTTGGCACCAGTAGCCTGAAATGATCAGGTAGCAGCTATAGCTTAAAGTGCAATGGGGCTCTCATGTCTCCTGATGGAAGCACCCCTATGCCTGCACCTCCCACCCCCTACCAGGAACCAGGACCTGTGGACCTGCAGAGCCCAGAGCTGTGAGGATGGGGAGCCCATATTTTCCCAGTGGCTCACTGGGAGCATGGTGAGAGTCGTCATTCTTACTCCCACCCCCTGATTCCCCAATCCATTTATTCTACTTGTAGACCGCACCCATCAATGGCATCAGTATAGTGTGGGAACTGCATCTTTGCAGAGTATCATTTCCAAATTGGTGCCTCAGCCGCATCTCTTTTTTTTCTAACTAAAGTACTTTTTTATTTTTAGATCCACCAAATGTTTTAAATATAACAAAATTTAATATACAAACTGGGATCACAACAGCATCCACAGGACAGCAGGAGTCGGGGAGAAGGGGGAAGAGGGGGGAGGGCAGGTTTTCAGGTTCCTAACTGCCTCTTTCACCCACAGTCCCACATGTTGCCTGTGAGAACATGGTCTTAGCAGAGGACGAGTCAGAGTAGCCAGAGGCGTAGGGGCCTTGAGCCTGCTCTAAGTTCAGTAGGCCCCTCTGACATGACATCCTTGCCATCTGTAGATCCATTGCCAGATCCAGCTGGGAGACAACAGGAAAGTGGTTGTTACTGAGAGGACCCTTATCATTCCTCCGGGTTCTGCTCATCACAACTTTGGGGCATAAAATAGAATTTTCTAGAGATTGTTAGGTTGGCAAGAGCTAAAATGCATGTGGGAAAAGAACAGAAATTGAATCTGAGCCTACCTCCTACCAAGATTCCTTGCCTATGACTCTAGAAAGCTGGA